TTAACTAACGACTATAAAATAATATCGATGTTATATATACTATATATGTGTATACATGAGTGTTGATACGCATGCACGTGAGCATGTTATAGGTGTACAAGACTACGAAAACTGTCAATATTTGATATAACAACGAAGGTGAATTTAGAACATGGGGAAACACATAACGATAATAAGCCTTGTAAAGTACAAGGTAATTAAATACAGATTATAAAAGTAATCGTTGTAACAGCAATTTTTATCAAGAAGACGTAACGGCGTACAGATTATCTTAAGAAGTTTATATATGATTATAGTGTACCTATTTTAATATAAAAATATTATAATAGGTCAATTAATTTACCCAAATTTTTTTAATAAAACGATTTAATTACTACAAAGAAATGTTTTAGTTCTTGTGTATGTTATACCATTAAAACGTGCAGTTAAATGGGCCTTTAAGACTAATTTTTGCTCACCAATTATCGCCTAAAGAAAAATATGTTAACGCTAAACATAAATTAAATTGATAAATATTTGTTATTTCTGATTTTTTCAAATTTATTTTAACATTTATTTAAAATTATTGGTTTTCTTAACTTAAGTACTTAAGATAATTATGGCTTCTATAAGTAATCCGTTTATGCTAATATAAAATATTTGATACATTTTTCTATCAAAATTCAAAATAATCGAAAACACTTTAATTTAATAATATAATTCCTATAAAATTATACAAATATTTGTATTTAATTTTAATATATGTATAATTCACATTATATATAATACCTTCTACATTATTACATTATATTAAGCCCTATGCAGTTTGGTGTTTATTATTTTGTGTTATTTATTCTATGTATCTAACTATTGTAAACACTATAGGCTATATTATGCATATTGTATTCAAAGTTTGAATTGGCTACGTAAATATATTTTAATAAAATATGTTTAGGGTTGTTTTCGATGTTAATAAACGCTTTTTAGTTTTTATGAATAGTATATTGGTAAAAAAAAAAACACAATTTTTGGATAATCTATTCTAAATAAGTTACAAAACTATAAAAATAGTTACATTTTATTATGAATGCGGTTATATAGTTATCTATACTACCTTTGAATTACTACATTGATAATTAAAATATTAAAATATTAAGATTGTATATGTTGGTTGCTAACAAGAGCCAAGAGGGTAAAACATATATTTATTAACCAGATATTATTAAAAAAAATTATAGTGAAACTTAATTGAAAGTTCATTTACAAATATGAAACTACAATTGATACAATTATACAATTGTATAATTGATAGAAGTTTAAAGTGATGATTCATATTTTAAATTATAGTTTAATTACAAAAATAATAAAAATTAATTTTTCAAAATACCTATCATATACATTTTGCGTATATATTCTACAAAGCTATAGATGGAACGATTTATTACAGGGAAGTGGGGAAGGGGAGGGTAAAAATCAAATCATATATATTTTTTTATAAAAATATAACATTTTCCTATACTATTACATTTACGTGTAGATAAAAAAAAATTGCGTATTGTATACCTATAAGTATGCGATAATTTCACAAAATTCTAAATAAAATAGGTATTTTGATATCGCCAGGTCTAGTAGTGTTTTTTTCTTTTACAAAACGATGGTAACAACATTGTTCATATAATAGTATAATATTATGTGACGGGTGACACGATTTATGTCACAAACATACTGTAAATAGTGTAAATACTTTAACCACTATAACCAGACGGCAGACAAACAGATAATCTTATGTACAATCAAAGAAAGTATATAAATTTATACCTAACCTTCAGAATCTAAAATAAAAGTATTAATTTTAAATTAATAATACTTTATGTACTGACAGTTATATTATACTGTATTTCGGGGAAAAACGGCAATAGATACGGGCGGCATTGTTTGATAATCAAAATTATCGACGGCAAAACGTTTATAAAAACTAATGACATAAATATCGTTATACATGCTATATGATATATATACAAAACCGACAGATTCGTATTCACAAGAATTATTATAAAATATTTTGTATAACAATAAAGGTGTTAACTTAACCGAGTAATCTTTATTAAGATAGTTATAAAATTCATATTTTTAAGCTGGTACATGTAAATTATTATAATGAACTGAGTTTCATATAGTTTTCAGCTATGAAAAATTTAACCTCCCTTCAAAAAAGAAAAAATTTGTTATTGTCTACTACATACTTTAGTTGTACCAAGAACAAGGTAAGGTCATTGTGTTTCTAAAATATGTTCGGATTGTATGAATTGTTGTATGTGCTTCATTAGTAACAATATTATTATAATTTATATTAAGACGTATTATATAATGGTATATAATAAAAATAACCATCAAGATAAACGCGTATTGACCAAAAATCCGGTAGAGCAGTGTACTCGAATCACTTCTAAATATACCTATTCGGCTATCCCTATTATTATTACAGACTACAGTCTTCATCGTGACTTATTCCAAGATACTGCGTTTTCAACTTGTTCTGTTTGATACTGCGATGCTGGCCTTCACATTAATCATTTATAATATATCGTTTAGTATATTCAAGTGTATAATTTAAATATTTTATTACATATTTCTTAATATATTTATAAGTTATAGGTAGTTTACAAAAAAAAACTATTAACATTTATGATAAAAAGTATATTCATATGGTTCTACATTTTTTTAAATAACAGGTAAGTTTCTTTATATTATTAATTTCAATATTCTCTTTTAGGCGTACTACTTATTTACATATTATAATATATCTATAAATTATAATAACTATGATTTTATAATTAATAAAATATAGGTAGGTATTACCCATTTACCCATCTAAATTTTGTAAGATTTAAAACCAACGTTAGTAATATTAAAATATTAAGTAAGATGATATTGTACTTAGATAGGTGTAATTACATACAAATATAAAATATAATTAAGAATACCAGAAATTTAATAATTAATATATTAATAATGTAATATATAGGTATAAATTTTATATTAATACTTTAAACTAGTATTAATTTAACTAATTAATTAATTCTTTAATCTAGTGACTCCGAAATCATTTTCAAATGATTTTACATAAAAATAAAATCTAAGTTAATAGTTAGAATTATATACAGTTAACAGTGAATTTGTTATAATAAACTACGGGACAAATTTCATGTACATTAGCATATTTTATAAACAATAATGGTACCTATAGGCAGATAGGCTTCTTGTAGCAAATAAAATCTAACTGGTACTTTTAGAATAAATAAAAATTAAAAATTATGATTGCTTTTTTAAAAAAATCTGGAAAAACTAAATGCAATACAAACATTACATTTTTAGTATTTTATTTTTTTTTGTTTAGTAACCTTGGTTACAAAAACGTTAAACCGTTTTTCCTCAAAATCATTTTTCGTGGTTATGATTTGTCATAGAATTCAAATTTATTATACATGTACTTACAGTAATTTATATTTATTACTTAATGGCTATTAATTGGTATAAGGTATAGCAGAGTGGTTTATCTACTTGCTCACTTTCTAATATTTTTGAAAGATGAATATATTTCTATATTCTAAATCAAATTTTGAAGAGTAGTTAATAAATTTACAAGTACTTAAAGTTTAAATGAGCTAATGATCAATATTGTACATTGTGTATTACCCAAATTTATGTATTTTACGTACCTATACAAGTTTTCAATGTTGTATAAAATCTAAATATTTTTTTTATATTTCAACGTGGTGAGTGATGGTGGTGAGGGGTTGAAGTCTGCTTAGCATCCTGGTACACCACTACCGTACAGTTTACAGTATATGTGCGTGTGCTAAATGCTAATAGGTATACCTATACCTAGTATCTATTGTAAGAGGTGTAGGTTTAAATAGATAAAACGAGCTTAGGACAACCGAAATAAATATAAACAGCTAGTCATCGACCCCACCCAACCGATTTATTATTATAAAAGTTAGTAATAATAATTTGAGAGCGGCGTGGTGTTGTTAACATCACTTGTGTATAATATACTGTAGAGTATACGTATAGTATAATATACACAAGTCACCTTATATACTGCGCAGTGTATAATATTATTATAATTTATTCGGTATTTATTATTATTATTATTACTATTATACTACGCGCATTTTCGGAGTTTATGGTGTAAATAAAATATAAGTCCGTGCGGAGCCCGCACCGTCGTAACCGCGGTATCCTCTTGGTAGCCGCTCGGGGAAAAACCGGTCGGCCACCGTTGAGGCGGCGTATAGTCGGAGGCAACAACTGGCGTTCATCATAAGGGTAGGGCGGCGGGAGAAGAAACAATCAAGCGACACAAGCGGTCGTCGTCTCCGCTGCGTCCGCGCCTCGTGCGTACGTTTACGACGTTCGCGGTGTGCGTGGTGGCGCGCCCAGTGGCCAACCAGAACGATAACGGGCGTGGCCTGCACCGGCTTCCGTGCGTTTCCCACGGCACCCATTGGGTCCCCGGCCGCAGCTGCTCGCGCCCATGCACCCGCCGCCGCCGACGATCGGGTAGCGCACCCGGGGAATAGCCGAACGCGCGCGCGCGCCGATCCGGTGCGGTATACTACTACTGCCGCCGCCGTCATCGTCGTCGTCGTCGTCGTCGTCGTCGTCGTCGTTGAATATAACAACGCTGCCGCCGTGCCCGGTTGTTACCGTCTCCGTCCTCATCGCTGCTGCTGCTGCTGCTGCTGCTGTTGCCGCCGCCGCCGCTCCTGCTGCTGTTGTTGCCGCCGCCGAACGTACACACACACGCTCACACATACACGTACGCGCGCGCACGTTACACACACTCGCGACCGTCGCCGTGTGGTGAGACCGCTTCTGACTTTCGTGTGCTACAGTCCAGTGAGTTCCGCAATAATCACCACTTACTGCGGTCGTCTTCTCCGTCGTCGTTTTCGTCGTCGTCGTCGTATTCGTTGTCGTCGTATAATACTATAATATAGTACATCTATATTACTGCTGTACTATTATTAAATAATATATAATAATATATTATACGTATTCGCGTAACGGTGTACACGAAAAATAATATTCCTACATACAGTGTATAAAATTCATACGAGCCTTGTAAGTATTAAACTTTTAATTTCAAAATTAAATTTTTTTTTTCTCTCTCTTATTCTTTATTTTTTTTTTTTTTTACTCTTTCGCGTGATTACGATTTTTTTTTTTCGTCAACTCGTCGTCGCGACTGGATTAAATGTTTAGGTCTGCGTAATAATAAAATGTGTAATAGGCATAAAATATTATCCTACCTAGTAAGTGCGCGTCGTTACAATAATGTTGTGTACGTGATGTACGCAGCCAACTTGGTCTTGTCAACCCGTTGATTACGGTTGGTGCACGCGAAATACGTCGTAATGGACTACCGGTGTTCGACGGCCGACCAGACGCGTAACTGCGGTAGTAGTTTACCGGTGGTGGGGACGAATTAATGGCGGCCACCGCGGCTACCGGTGTTCGGTCGGCTACCGGACTCCGCCTATACCCCTTTACTCTTCACCTCCGCACGATCGTTTTTCACCACGCACAACATCTGCAGCCTTCGGACACGAACGAAACCGCTCTTCTCCGGTCGGAAAATTTTCTAACACATTTTTAACCATTGGTAAATTATATCATCATACCTAATGGTACATTTTATCATTAGGTATTATTTATTTCTCTTCGTATTGCGGTCGGTTCAATCTCGCGTGTGAACTTCAGTCTTGTCGTGTTAGTCAATTCGTTTATATGAACATTGTCTTTCGTTTGTCGGTTATTGTCTGCAGATATTAAAGTGTTACCTCTTACTTTTTAGGCATAACTAATCTAATGCCTTTCGCAAGTTTTACGATCTATTCCGTATTATTTATCCGTATACTTATACTAATGTCCATTGTTGACGACCGCATGCCCGTTGATGTCTGACATTAGATTATTATTGTACACTTTTCATTTTTTTTTTCGTAGATTTTTTTGTTGGGCCTCTGTTTTAATTAATTGTGTTTTTTTTTTACCACATCACTGTGGGTGTTGAAATCCGCCATACCTGTCGCGTCTACACTCCAAAAATATTAATACGATTTATATTTTTTTTCTCAGTTTTATTTCCTATTGATATTAGTTGTCTTTCTCACAGTCAAAGCTCCCTTTTTGTAGAGCGCCTTGAATTACACCCGTGCCGCAACAAGTCGGTCATCACTGCAGTACGTGGTCCGTTGCAGGTAGGCGGCGCGTCATTGTGGTGCATAATATACGTACGTAATTTTCGGTATGTCTGTCTGATTTCGCAAACTCCTACTCAAAATCCTTGAATGCCACTTGGCTATTGTTACCGTTCATATGTTGTATTGTGTAGTATTTAAATTTTTTTGACGCACGTATAACCGCCAAAAACCCATTGGCAATAAATAATAATATTTATTAATATTGTAATATGTTAGCACAATGTATAATATAATATAAATACAATGACTTTCATTTTATTCTTGTGTTGTTTTTGCAGCGTTTTGTTGTCGTCGTCATCGTCATCACTATACCACAACTTATAGTCGCCCTCAATAGATACACGCGTTTGTTTAGATCACTGCACGTGTTGACTATTGGAAACCAATCTGAAAACCACACGCTATAAATATTTTTACAATTGTATATTGTCCATCTGAGTAATCTTCTCGTCTCGTTCGCAACGCAACGACCGAGACTTGGCCTGAGTAGCCGCTGTCATCAGACGTTCGTTAATTATATCGTATAATCAGCTCGTGGAGCGCCAGGCGAGAACGCTGCAGCGGCTCAACCATGTACGCGGTAATACAGCTAGATTCGGAAAACCACAGGCTCCGGCCCAAGCGGGTCAAAATGGAGTTTGTGTGCAAATACTGCAACCGGACGTTCAACAAACACTATTCACTACTTATACACGAACGCAATCATCTGCCAACGGTCAACTACCGGTGCGAGATGTGCTACAAATCGTTCAAACGGCAGGACAGCCTGCAACAACACAGGTCAGTGTCGAAATCGCATTGAGTCCCTGTATATCATATATAATACCATACTATCTACTGTATTATATTTATATCATAGTACCTACCTGTAATACACTCATTAATTGTATATATATTTATAAACTATCACTATACTATACCACTGCTACTACTATACTATACTTATATTACTCTATATATATACTTACTGTATACCACTTCGCATATTAATACTGTTGTGTACATAAATATTGTCGCCGTCAGTGTCGGATTTGAGGTTGTGAAAGTAACCTCTTTCTCCTCCCGGAATTTGTATGAATTTTTTTTACAGTAGAAAAATTCTTTTGAATTTCGAACTTAAGGGTTTAATTTATATGTAATTATATATTATTACATTGCTAACCACTGTTGCTGTCGTCAAAAAAAAAACCATCTTCGTGACCGGGAATTCGAGGACGATGAGAAAATATTTCTACTTATACTTACCTATGTTATAAATTTTGTTACATAAAACAATGTTATTATATATTAAAACAAAATGAACTTTTAACACAATTTTTGGAGTCAAGCGTAAAACCAATACATTAATTAACTATATATTTATCTTATATAAGGTCATAATCACTAAAATTCTATTAACATTTGCTTTGAGATATAAAAAATAAAAAAGTATGATGCTGTATGATACATTACAAGTATCTATATATTTTATGTATTCGGCATCTATGCTCAATATTTTTCTTGGTTATAATTTGGCACTAACTGACAAAAAACGAAATTGACTTCAAAAATTAGTTGCGTTCATTTTGGATACTTATATATTTTACAACATACAACCATATTTTTAAAGTATAATTACATAAATACAAACATTTAGTGATGTTATATATACAAACTCCGTGTATGGTATTGCTATATTACTACGGTGGTTGATTTTATTATTACTCTATAAGTCTGCGTTCTAAGTATAGGCAATCTTTTCACTTATTTTAATTCTTGTTCTATAGATTATTATCCTCTTGTACTTTCACGTTCTATACTTATTACCGTTTTAAAACACGTCGACACATCGCCTGTTAAATTATTTTTCCTATTAAGATGTTAATTTTATTTAATATCTTAATATATTTTAACAATAACAAACAATTAAATTAAATTTTAAAAAATAAACAAAATAAAAACAACCATTCTTGTCTGTTATTAACATTGGGTTTTGGATTTTTCGCTATTTTTTATTTTTTTTTATAGATGTGGCCACTCAAGGTGAACTACGGATTCTTCAAGACAACCCTTATTTATAAAACCTACCTATCTAAAAATAAAAACAAAATCTATTATAGGCCATCTTTCTTACTGTACATTGTAAGCCATACTATTTTATTCTTCTCTATTTTAATAGTTTCAAATGTAAAAAAAAAAATAAAACAAAAGAATTCGGTTCATAATTTACCTATTCACGTTATTAATATAATAATACGGCATGGTCGCTTGTTTTACTAATACCGGTTTGAGGTCACATCTCACATAGACTTATCTCTATCTTATACTTATGAATGATCTCTCTAAAAAATCAATTCTCATTTATCTAAATATGATCTAATTGTGTGCACTATATGCCACATATAATTATCAAATGTTATTCTTCAATGTTTTTTAATTTTTTTATTTAATTTTAATTTTTCTCTCGGACTTCTTTTGTTTATGGTTTTTATTTTTCCAATACAGATCAACTCATAGTCCAAATTACAGAGCTGGGTACGCATTGCAGCTTTGAAAAAATGTGATATGCTAAATTATTGGCAAATTGTTGTAATGAAGTAAATGTAGATAGACAGACATTAACTAGGTAGTTGTTAAGTTGTAGTACTAATAAGATTATAATTTTGAGCAGACTGGTCAATTTTTTTATTTTTGAATTAAAAAATATGTAGTTTTGAAAAAACTCAAGTACAATTTTTGAATTTGCTGTTTTTAAACATAAATCAATTAATAATTTATTAACAATGTATATTATTTTAAGTTACATAAAAGGTCGTACAAATCAATATTATATTCCTAATATTTTTATTGTAAGACGTTAATAAAATAATGAGACATACCTACCATTGTAATATTATTTTGTAGAATAGTCTATCTATATAGAATCCAAGTATAAAAGCTATTCACAAAATAATTCTTCAAGCAAAATTTTTCTTTGTATGTTCCTTAATAATTTCTTACTTGAAATTCGCAAGTTTGGCAAATTACAATATAAGAAATACCTTTTGAAATGTTTAATGTTCTAAAAAAAGTGGGATTATCCTACAATAAACAATATTACCATTTAATAAGATAAAAAAATATGTGTTATTGTTTTTTTTCTTATACGTATATATATTTATATATAAATTAATTAAAATTATATATGAACTAAAATATGGTTTAAAATTTTGTAAATATGTAACCAGTTATTGTTAGACATTATTAGATATATTAAAGTTTTAATTTGTCTGTATCATATGTGTTGATAAAAAAAATATATATAAATAATTTATTTGTAAATGATAAACAATGTTGTCAATTTGTTTTTTTTATCCTTAGTTATATATCCTTTTGAATGCCAATATGTGTAATTATTTTATCTGTTACAATTAGTTTAATCCTATATCTCAGGCTATTTGCTTCTATATACACATATATAAATAAATTATTAGTTATAATAAGCTTCAAATGTTTATATTACAAAGTTAAAAACTTTTTATGATTGATTTATCTAGATACCTTTTGTAAGCTATAATAGCTTGAGTTTGAGGTATAAATTTATGAACTTAGTACAAATATATAATTTAAAGAATGATAATATGCAATTAAGTTATAGCATATAAATATTAACTAACGTGTTTATGGAGATGTATAATAGGAAAACAAAATTAAAAATACTAATTTATGCGTGTAGAAGACATAAAGAGTGGAACTAGCTCTACTGTTTAGTAAATTTCGAGACTTCGAGTGTACCTCTTAATTGAATATAGGTAACCGTAATTTCATTGATAAATTACCATTGAAAGCAATAACGAAATAATAATTATGCATTCAATACAACAATTCTGTTTTGAGGTGTAATATACAACAATTACACAACAATTCGGTCTAATATAATTATTTTAAAATTAAACTAGCATTAATAACATTTTTAGTTGTATTATAGTGTATGACAACACAATGTATACATTATCTTAAATTTAATCGATTAATCAATGATGTTATCTTTAGAAAAATTTAAAGATTCACTAAAAACGCCGATCCTATTAAATATGTCTACTTCCTAGTAAAAATATGTATAGGTACATACTATCATTATTGGCTCCGGTCAGGTAGAATATCAGGTTATTACGAAAGAATACAAGTAATAAAAATTAAAATGCTTTTTTAATAAAAAAAATTGATCCTGAAATTTCGGGTGATTAAGATTAAAACCACGAAGTATTCCTTACATACTTTATTGCTATCAGTTACGTAACTTATTGAGAAATACTACTATTAGTATTTATGATACTCTATATGTATGTAATGTTTTCAGATTAAATACAAAATCGTAATGCTTGAAATTGTTTTATTTTAAACTTATATGTTAATGGATATTATTTTTAATTGTATGCATATATTGAATATTTTAGTATCACATTTTATTTTGTTAATTAGATATTTCATAAAAATTGCTTCAATAATGTGATTTTTTAATTATAAATTATAAATTTAGTATTGATGACACACTTATGATAGGTACTAGTGTTATTAATTACACCTAGTATCACAGTTACGATTTTAGACAAATATTATTTGATAATTTTACTTCTTAAAAATAGTTAAGTGGTTAAAATTACTTTATTTTAATTATGTTTGTATATAATTATTAGCCAGTACATAAAAAATAATAATTTAAAGATATATTGAATAGTAGTTTTTACAACAATATGACTAGATTGTGTTGTAAAAGCATTCTTTTTCGAAAGTTTTACGATATTTTTTTTTTTATTAGTCATCATTACTTACATCATTAAATGAAAAAATATGACTAATCATAGTTTGTATTGATACATTATTAAAGAAGGTACTTGCTAACATTATTTAGAACAGTTTTAACATTATTGCAATTATTTTAAATGATCTTATACATACCAAAATATAAACATTGATAATTTTAAATTGCTACATTTAACTACGTTCAAGCCTGTGATTTTGCAGTTGAATTTTATATTTTCATTCATGATTTAATAATATGTATGTATTAACTATTTATAAGTGATTAGCGCTTGGTATAGGAGAAGCAATCTCATATTCCTATTTATTGAATAGCATCTTATATTACCTTTATAAACTATTTATTTTTTACGCCAATAATTTTGGAATTTTTGTTGATTATATGCATCCATAATTAATCAGCATTTCTATTTGACGAGCGTGTCTATATTATTTTTGTATAAAATTATAAATTGTAGGTATTCTAAATTATTTGTTCTCATTACGTTTCAAATAAATACTAAAAAAAAAAAAATAAGAAAGTACAAGAATATTTTGCAACATCATTTTTTGATAAAATTTAGTTTTTTTTTTTTTGTTAAAATTTTATCTTAAAACGCTAATAAAAAGTTATTTTGAATTTACGCTCAATTTTTTTATCCAGTAATAAAAAAACTAAGGATCTTTGTATTTAATATTTAAGCTTTTTTAATCATGCAAAATGTTTAATCGACATTAATAAAAAAAAAAATCAAGATGCCTAACATTTTGATAACGAAAGGGTTACATATAATTATTTTAATAATAATATATTAACATTTTTATAATTATTTTTATTTTTTTTCACGATTATTTCAAAAAATATTGCGGAGTATTTTCTATTTTGATTTCTTATAAGTATTAACAAAATTCAATTTGCTACTAAAAACATTCATTTAAGTTTATGATAAACATATTTTTTTTACTAAAAAGGGTGTCTTCAAACACATAAAAATAAAAAACAAAAAAATAACTAGAATCAATAAATTCATTGATTTTCTCATAATTTAAAACAAAAGTATTTAAAACCATTGATATTATTTAATCTATATATTTAATGAGTTAACAAAGTTCTTAAAATAAAAAAATGAACCATAAAATGTCAGGTTCTATTATAATAGTTAATAGCTGTTTATACATCTATCATTCCCATAATGTTTTAAACGCTGCAGGAACCATTGTTTAAACATATAAATGTATATTTCTTTATTACGTTAAAATATTAAAAATTATTACTAATATCGTATACTTATCAATTGTCATTAGATATATACAATAAAATGATGGCCAGTAGTCAAATATATAAGTGATTTCGTCACTCGTGTAACATAAGGTAAAAAATAATTATAGGTAGGTACCTATACATATTATGTGCACATATAGATATACCAATGTAATATAGGGAGGTGATAATAATTGTTTAAATATTGAATAGATGGTCAAATCATTGGATCCATGGAAACTCGGTTTGACGGATATTCTCACGAGAATTCATGAATATTAATGAAGAGATAATTGTCATTGGTGTACACAATAAACATTCTCATGTATATGTTTGTTTACTTCGTTTTAATATAGTATACACTCAGATTGCTCATAATTCATAAATACACGAACGAGTGCAGTTATAATACGAAGAAGTTATATCGTTAAAAAAAAATATAAGACTAATCTGCTACTGCAGCGTGTAAAATTCGTATAAATCTGTGTCCTTAGTATAGTGTGGTCCGCAAGCCTGCAATAATATGCAGTATTAGAGTAGGTACCATATCTAATGCTTTATTGATATTATTATTATAAAAATTGTATTCCAAAATGTAGCTTGTAAAAATCAGTTTTTAAAATTGTTAATACTCATTGAAAAACATTGAATGTATATCAAGATTTAATATTTCCAGGCTGGAGTTAATACGTTATAATTACACAATCTAACTGATAAGTATCCATAGACCTTGTAAATTAAAATATTAAATCTTGAAATCAAAAGTTATACAAAAAAAAAACAGAAATACAGGTTTTTCTTAGGTTAATAAATTTAAAATTATTTTAAATCACTAAAGAGTGAAGTACTGTACTATATTGTATAAGTGTACAACTCTTATTCTTAAACGTGCTTATATGTTATAGTTAACAGTTATCAGCAACTAATTTCAAACAATACTAAAAAGTATAAATCATTATAAAACTAATACCTATCTTTTTATACAAAACAAACAAGAAGTACATTTCGTATACATTATTGACATAATATTCATGTAGTTCACATGCAGTAATTTGGGACTTGGAGTTCAGACAATACATAGTTTACTGTAACATAAAACACATATTATATTTGTATATATGGCTGGTAACTGCATATACACCTATATAGGCTATAATCTATGTGTATAAAACCATTTAAAGATATGTATTTGTAAGTGAATATGAATAGTAAATTTTCATGTTCATTATCAAACTAATATTTCAAAATTAGAAAGTAAATAATTTTAATTTAAAGTGCTTAAACAATTATTAAAATAAATTGTATAGATTGAAGAAATGAATATAATTTTAACAAATAATCATATTTTTTTCCATAAATTATTTAAAAAAATTATGAAAATTTTCAATTTTAACCTCTCAATAGCACTAATTCAAGTAGTACTAATATCAATAAAACTAATTTGCTATCAGAAACATATATCTAAGTTGATCAGAGCTTTTTTTCTTTTTGAAATAGTGTCTTTAGAAATAAAAGAACACAATATTATTGTCGATTCATTTATCACTTCGTTCAAAATATAAAATCGAGAAAAAAGTAGAATTGTTTTTGTAAAATCAGTTTTTGATAAAATCGATTAAGGTTTTTGTTTTAGTTTAAAAATTAATTAATGTAAAGACTTGAAACGTTTAACGAATATTTAA